CTCCAACACCATGCCTGCCCACCTGCCACCATGCTCCCCACCATGATGGTCATGGACTCACCCTCTGAAACTCTAAGTAAGTCCCCAGTTAAAGGCTTTCTTTTATAAACTGCTTTGGTCATAGTGTTTGATCACAACAATAGTAACCCTAATTAAGATACACTACAGCATGAATATCCTAAGACCATCACGCTATGTAAAGTCAGCCATATAGAAAGATTCCACTTTTTTTTGATATCTAGCATAGTCAAATTGAAACAGGAAGAATTGTGGTAGCCAGGGGTGGGGAAGAGGAAGCACAGGGTGTTAATGCTAATGGGTTACAAAACATTAAGACTGTTTATTTGTACATTTGAAAATAGGCAAGATGGGTCTGGTGGGTGAATCTTAGTGGTAGAGCACTTGCCTAGCATGTGTGATTCTGGGAGTTTAATTCCTAGCCCCACAAAACCAAAGTGAAACTATCTAGTGCCACTATGATGGTGGTGTTATATGTCTGCAGTACCAGCTACTCAGAAATGCTGTTATTATAACACTATAATAGTGGTGTTATATGTCTGCAGTACCAGCTACTCAGAAATGTTGTTATTATAACAAAAGTGGAGTTTGCATCTTGATGAATGTAAACTGAAGACAAGTATAGCTGAGAGATAAGGTTGGAGGAAGATTCACTGCAAAGAGCTGGTTCAAGAAGAAAAAAGATGACGCACACATTTGCGGGAATGCTTAGGTAAAGATGATGACGCATATGTTTTCAGGGTTAAAACGGTGGACAGGAGCACTTCTGGGCATGCTCAGCTTGAATGATAAAGAGGGCAGCCAGCAACACCTCTGGGCAAGCTCAAATTTCTAAAAGATAAAATAAAAGAAAAAGAACAACAAAAAGTTTTAGTTGGTAAATGGAACAGACTATTTTTTGTCTTCTTGGATTAAAGTCTTTTTTTTACTAGTTAGGTTAGAAACAATCTTGTTTCACATGTCAATCCCAGCTCCCTCTCCCTCTCCCCAATCCCCCCACCCTCTCCACCAGGTTCCCCAGTGCCCCACCCAATCTCCAGTCCGATCCCCAAGGAGGGTGAGACACTCCATGGTGGATCTCCAGTAACTGTCATTTCATCCAGGGCAGGGCCTAGGCCCTCCCCCAAGGGTCCCGGCTGAGAGAGCCTCCCATATTGTGCCATGGGCACTCAAAGTCTATTTGTACGCCAGGGATAAATAATACCCAAGGCCCCATAGATTACCTAGGCCTCCTCACTGACACCCACATTCAGAGAGTCTGGGTCAGTCCCATGAATTCCACACAGCCATCAATCTGGGGTCCAAGAGCTCCCCCTTGTTCAGGTCAACTGTTTCTGTGTGTTAAACCAGCCCACTCTTAACTCCTTTGCCCATCAATTCTCTCTTTCTGACACTGGATTCCAGGAGTTCAGTTCAGTGTTTGTCTGTGGGTATCTGCCTCTGCTTTCATCAGTCGCTGGATGAAGATTCTGTTTCCTAGACTCTCTGGCAGTGGGATTGTATGCTGGCACTCCCCTGATTCATGTCTAAAATTCATAAATGAGTAAGTACATACCATGTTTCCCTTTTTGTGACTGGGTTACCTTACTCAGTATGGTTTCTTCTAGTGCCTTCCATTTGCCTGCAAATTGCAAGATTCCATTTTTTTCCCCGCCAAATAGTACTCCATTGTGTAAATGTACCACGTTTTCTCTATCCACTCTTTCAGTTGAGGGGCATGTAGGCTGCTTCCAGGTTCTGGCTATTACAAATAATGCTGCTATGAACGTAGTGGAACAGAGACATCCTTGTTGTGTGAATGTGCATCTTTTGGATATATGCCTAAGAGAGGAATTGCTGGGTCTTGTAGTAGACTGATTCCTATTTTTCTGAGGAATCTCCATAATGATTTCCAAAGTGGCTGTCCAAGTCAGCACTCTTACTAGCAGTGGAGGAGTGTTTCCCTTTCTCCACATCCTCTCCAGCATAAACTGTCCTTGGAGTTTTTGATTTTAGGCATTCTGACAGGAGTAAGATGGTATCTCAGAGTTGTTTTGATTTGCATTTCCTGGATGGCTAGGGAAGTTGAGCACATTCTCAAGTGTCTCTCAGCCATTTTAGACTCCTCTATTGAGAATTCTCTATTTAGTTCTGAATCCCATCTTTTGCTTGGGTCCTTTGGTGTTTTGGAGACTTGCTTTTTGAGTTCTTTGTAAATTTTGGAGATCAGCCCTCTGTCAGATGTGGGGTTAGTGAATATCTTTTCCCAATCTGTGGGTTGCCTTTTTGTCTTGCTGACTGTGTCCTTTGCCTTACAGAAGCTTCTCAGTTTCAGAAGGTTCCATTTATTAATTGTCGATCTTAGTGTCTGTGCTACTGGAGTTACGTTCAGGAAGCGGTCTCCTGTACCATTTCATTCAAGGGTGCCTCCCACTTTCTCTTCTAACAGGTTCAGTGTGGCTGGATTTATGTTGAGGTCTTTGATCCATTTGGACTTAAATTTTGTGTATGGCGATAGACATGGATCTATCCTCATTCTTCTACATGCCAGCATCCAGTTACACCAGCACCATTTGTTGAAGATGCTTTCTTTTTTCCACTGTATATTTTTAGCTTCTTTGTCGAAAATCAGATGTTCATACATGTATGGGTTAATATAAGGGTGTTCAATCGAGTCCATTGGTCTACCTGTCTATATTTATGCCAATACCAAGCTGTTTTCAGGACTACAGCTCTATAATAGAGCTTAAAGTCAGGGATGGTGATGCCTCCAGATGTTGCTTTGATGAATAAGGCTGTTTTGGCTATCCTGGGTATTTTGTTTTTCCATACAAAGTTGATTGTTGTTCTTTCAAGGTCTGTGAAGAATTGTTCTGGGATTTTAATGGGGATTGCATTAAAGCTGTATATTGCTTTCGGTAAGATCTCCATTTTTACTGTGTTGATCCTATCTAAGAGCATAGGAGATCTTTCCACCTTCTGGTGTCTTCTTTGATTTCCGAAAGGACACTTTAAAAGTGTCCTTTTACTGTAGGAGTTTGTCCCTGAAACTTGAATCCTATCATTATTGTTATTTTGCTACAAGTGAAAAAAATGGGTTAAAAGATGTAAAAAACAATGTTTGTAATGTATGCAAGACGATGCTTCTGTTTTTCTCTTTGAACTGCAAATGCTTCCAAGTAGGACCAACTCTTCCAAGTCAGGTCCAACAGCATTGCTCCAGCTCCACTCTGAACAAAAAACTCCCCTCAGGTTTTAGACTGGGATTTCTTGCGTCTTCACTGGAGTATATGACCTAAGGGCAGCATAAAAACAGTTTAGGAGCATTGTGAGTTTTGATGATTAACTAAGAGCTTGCTGGTGAAAATATCTGATATGTGGCAGGTTCTCAGTGCTGGGTAACTTCTCTTTCCACCATGCCTTTTTTGAAGTGGAAAACTCTGCTCTCAGCCTTCCATCTTATTCTTCCTCAGTCTCCCATCTTGTTCTTCCTCAAGGCCTGAAGATGCTTCCAAGGAACAAAGCAGAGGAACTTTACAACAGTTGGAATTTAGAACAGAGAGTTCTTGAGACGGACACTGCATTAATTACTGGAATTAAAGCATAAACCCAACTGAAAGATTGAAAGCAAAGCAGCCGCCAAATGTCTATTTTCCAAATTGCCCATGATAGTACTCCATAAATTTTGATTGACACTAAAGTATATAACAGCATAACTTTTTCTTTTTGCGTATGTAAATGGTATAGAAAGAGAGATGACTAATGGTTTCCTGGCATAGTTTTCTCTCTTTTTTTTTCCTTTTTTTTTGTTTGTTTGTTTGTTTTTTTGAGACAGGGTTTCTCTGTGGCTTTGGTGGCTGTCCTGGAACTAGTTCTTGTAGACCAGGCTGGTCTTGAACTCACAGAGATCTGCTTGCCCCTGGGATTAAAGGCATATGCCACTACCGCCTGGCTTTTTAAAAATTTATTTAACTTTATTTTATGTGTATTGGTGTCAAATTCCCAGGAACTGTAGTTACAGACAGTTGTGAGCTGCCATGTGGGTACTGGGAATTGAACCCCGGTCCTCTGGAATAACAGCCAAATGCTCCTAACCACTGGGCCCCTGGCATAGTTTTTAAAGGCAGGTGCTGATGAACTAAAACTACTCTGTCTAGACTTTGGAAAGAAAAGCTATTGAATCTTTAACATTTACATTTGTATCCACTGATTGTCAAACATAACCAGGATAAGAATTGCCTGGAGGCAAAGGAAACCTGTCCTAAATTAGTGAGTCCAACTGCAATAGCCCTACTTATTTAAAGTTTCAATTGACACATAGCAATTGGACACATTTATGGACACAACACTGCATTTTGGCCCACATATACATGACTATACAATGTCTAGATTAGAGTGATTGGCATGTCTATCACCTCAGGCATTCATGACTCCTCTGGGTTGGGAACATCCTGTTCTCTCTACTAGGCATTTTGAAATCTTGTCCTTTCTGAAGGCACTGAGAAACCTTAAGTGATTTTATATAAGATACAGGTGAGAAAGAAAAAAAGAACTAGTTTTCTTTATATTTTCTTCCTAATATTATTCATCGCCTGGGTCACTTTAACCTCACCGAGTCTCAGCATAGAGGCTGATTTCCATCTCAGAGGAATGTGATGCACCTCTGATAGGATGCTGTATAGTGCTGACTGCCACTGAGTATGTGATTCCCAGATGAAGAGCGTTTGTTGTTGTTACTCTATGCTCCAAAATGCCTTTAAGGTTTATTTTTATTTCATGTGTATCGCTGTTTTGCTTGTATGTATGTTCATGCACCATGAGTGTGCAGTGCCCGTGGAGGCCAGACGAAGGTGCCAGGTCCTCTGCAACTGGACACACAGTTGTGAGCCACAATGCAGGTGCTGGGAATCAAGCCTGGGCAACAAGTACTCTTCAGTGATGAGCTGTCTCTCAAGACCCTTCCAAAACATTTTCAAATCTGTTTTCCACGTTTTCTGTTACAGAGATCAGGACTGCAAGAAGATACTGAGTACATTCAAAGGAGCATTTGTGTCCAAGAATCCATGCAACATCACAAGGGAAGACTATGAACCACTAGTTCAGTTGGTCACTCAGACCATACCATGTGACAAGGTAACAGATTTTCCTTTTGGATTTGAGAATAAAAGCCACAGGGAAGAGGTCCCAGGACCAAAATTAGGATGCAGAAAGAGAGAAAACCTTGGTATTAGGCATCATTTGGTATGGTTGGTGGAGTAGTATTGATGAAGGGCAGGCTTTGGTGACCTAGCATACCATCAGGGTTTAGGATATCTGGGAAAGGAAGATACCAGAGAGATGGGACACAGAGAAAAGAATCTAAAATCAATCCACACAAACAAAAGTAATCCAGATTTATATAATTATGGAACTTTCCCCTACCTGCTGATAGCAATAGACAAGTAAATGATAACACAAGGCCAATTTACAATTGAAGAGTGACTTTGGTTTTTACTCTCCTAGCCCTCACCTTCTTAGTTCTTAGGAGCCATCCTATGGAGTAGGCAAACCAGGGGTCAGAGTCTTTATTCGCCAGTGGGGATGCTCAGGCTTGGTGGGTTTAGGTGAAAAGAAATTGCCTAAGTATAAGAGGCTTTAAAGAAACATAAGCCAGCTGAAATGCAAATACAACAAACCTTGGAGTCAGAGAAGCCTGCTTTTCAGTCCTTTGAATATACTATAAAAGGTCTGTCACGAGGTACAACTCTTTCAGAGTCTGTATTTAAAGCAACTTTCACATGTCTGAAACTAAGTGAAGCTCCCCAACCCACCCACAGTTATCACCCCTCATCCTATTGTTAGTGAACTGGAGATATCTGTGTCTCCTCCCCCAGGAGTACCAGTACAGAGCTCTGAACAGAGGTAGATGGTAGACAGTAATCAAACTTACTTCTATGACTATTGTGTGTGTGTGTGTGTGTGTGTGTGTGTGTGTGATTTACTCTGATAGCTTCTGCTTTCTTTTATTTACAAAAGGTTGATTGATTGACTGATTGATTGATTGATTGCAGTTATAGGGATAGAACCCAGAGCTGCATGCATGCCAGCACTCATTCTTCTGTTGAGCCACATCCACAGCTCTCTGATTTATTTTATTTTGGATATACTAAATTGAGTGTTTGTTCTTTCTCAGACTCTCTTTTGGAGCAAATCCAAACACCTGGCCCATGAGTATACCCGGGTCCAAGGGAAGATGTTCACCCTGGAGGATACACTGCTGGGCTATATTGCTGATGATCTCATGTGGTGTGGAGACCCCAGCACTTCTGGTAAGGATCTGAAGCAGCTGGGATGGCTCAGGATGCATGGGAGTAGATCTTTGAGCTGAAAAAAGGACATTGAAAAGTCAATGGGCTCATACACTAATGATCACTGAGGTGGATCAGGGACCTTGAAAGTCAATAGGCACATGTGTTAATGTCATCAAAGCCCTTAATGACAAGTCATGCTCTTAGAAAACAGCAATCCCTGTCCTTTGGAAATATCAGCCCTTGGTCTCTGAGGAGTGGGAAGCATACATGGGGAGGAAATGACTGACCCTGTAAGACAGGAAATGAGAGAGAGCCAAGAAAGCTAAATTGCTCATTTTTGTAGTAACCAGTCTAATACAGTCTAGAGGAAAATCTCCCATGAAAGTCATTAATCCCCTCATGAGGATTCCCTCATGATCTCAGTTCCTCTTAGAGGTCTCATCAATTCAAAACACTCAATAGAGAACTAGGCTCAATATGAGTGCTGATGGGGGCAAGCTGTATCAAACCACAGTACTACTTTATAATGCTGCTGAGGGAAGACATCCCTCACTTGCAGTCTCTAGTCTCTACCCTCCTTCCTGTTCTCTCCTTTCCCTGCCCCTCCCGCTCTCCTTTTCTCCCCCATCCACTCCCTTTTCCTTCTCCACTTCCTCTTTCCCTTCCTCTCTTTTTGCAAGGAATGACCCCCCCTCAACCTTGAGATATCATTTCATTCTGCATTATGTATTCTTGAACATTACCATAAACCATTTTTAAAAAATATATATACTTAAGGTGATCGGTGTAATGTTTGGTTTTAAACAGACATGGTGAACTGATTGTTATAAGTGAGATATTTAGCATTGGCACCTTAAGGTATCATCCTCATAGTTTATTGGTGGTCTTTCTTTCTTTTCCCTTGTAGTCAATCAATCTATTTGCCAAGTGACACATCTGTTCTTTATCTCCACTCACACTGCCTGAGTCCACCCCCTCTTGTTGGGAAAGTTGTAATGTTATACTAATCACTCTTTACCCCTTTAGGTCAGTCTCCGTCTGATAGCACAGACTTCACAGCACAGACTTCTTACAGTGAAAATGTGACTGTGTCTATCTCCTTTTAAAACCCAATAATCTCTCTCTACCTCTAGGCTAACTGTCCAAATTCCTCCGGTTGGCATGGCTTGTATTTCGGGTGCCTCATTTTCCATCATTCTCTGTTTCTGATCAGAGTTCATCACAGCTCTTTGCCTCTGCATGTGCCATCTGCATAAGGTGCCCTTCTCTTTAGAGTCTGTCTGAGGACAGCAATTCTTGTCCAAAGCAAAATTCATCCTGAACTTTTTCTGGTAATATTGCACAATACAAGTTAATCTTTCTCTGGATATTTGACTTCAATACATCACATGCTACCTGAGGCAGCACTCTCACTGATTCAACCCTCTGTCTCAGAACCTAACCCTCAGTAAATGTTTATATACTAAGGCAAATGACCATGAGAACAGTATCATAGAAACCACATATCCACACTCAGTGCTTTGTTCCACACTAAGGACTGAGCCTGTTTTCATGGGGTTGGCTGAGACCCCAAACTTCTGGAGGATGAGAAGGAAACTCTCTGCAAGAGAGAATTGCCGGGTACCAGAGAAGTATCTGGTGAATGTGCCTTCTTCCCAAAAAGGCCTGGCCTTCTCTCTAAGTGTTCCTGGACTCCAGGGAAGTGATGGGGGCTGGTCTCTTTAGGGCAAACTTTTGTTGCCATTTCCCAGAATGGTGAGACAAAACCCATCACACTGTTCCTGTCTGGGATCTGGAGGGGAAGGCAAGGAGTTGGAGGGAATTCAGGGGACACTTAGTTAAATTGGGTTGAGATGTGTCCATTCTTCAGTCTCTGCCTTGGCACAGATGCTATTGGGAAACACTCCCACTGAGGTTGGACAGCCAAGAATGAGCCCAAAGGTACACTTCCTTTTCCACTCTAACTATTTCTTATAAATCTTGTGTTTTAGACATGAACTATGACTCTTGCCCACACTGGAGTGAAAACTGTCCAGACAACCCTGTCTCAGTGTTCTGGAAAGTGATTTCCCAAAAGGTAAGTTCCAAGCAATTAAATTCTCGAGTTTTGACTGAAGATATTGTTTGGTCAATGGCTAGTTGAATTTGAGGCGTTTTGGGTTACATATCCTTGTAGGTTTGAAAGTGTGGAAATCTTTGCTGAGAACAAAAGCTCAGAGATAAATGCTAGAAGACTTTCCCACCCAACTTGAGAACACCCACAGAGGCTTTGCAAGCTCAGAGAGAGAATCCCTACACCCAATGAGTGAATAACATTCAGCTGCTATGTCTATCAGGAAGCTAGGTTTGGCTTAATCCAGTGACCCAGGTATTGGTTGGATTACTGGAACAGTTTTAATAATCTGCATTTAGGCTGGGCGGTGGTGGCACACGCCTTTAATCCCAGCACTCGGGAGGCAGAGGCAGGTGGATCTCTGTGAGTTCGAGGCCAGGCTGGACCGACAGCCTCCAAAACAATACAGAGAAACCCTGTCTCGAAAAACCAAAAAAAAAAAATCTGCATTTATAGACCACTTAATATGTGCCGACTTGTTTTCAGGAGTTAAGAACTCTATCCTCACAACAACCATATGAAACATCATAAACATTATACCCTCTTCAGAGGTGGCAAGATGGAGGTACAAGCTACTAGCTGATGCCAGATCTAGAATCTGGGGTGAGAAACACTAATTCACTTACCTCACATCTGTATATGATTTCACTTGAAACTGCATAGAAATGTTTACATTTTCTCATTAGTTGTGTCTCTGCAAGAAAATGCCCTTTGTAAATAGACCACAGGGTGTAAAGAATGAAAATAATAAAAAACAAACAAACAAAACAAGTGAAAGGAAAAGAAAAAAGACCAAAAATACTGGTTATAAGTTCAAAGTAAATACACATCTGAGGAGGTGTGGCAAAAGGAAACTTGAATTTGCCAATACATATGCCTTAGTTCACTTGGAATGCTCTAACAAAAAGCTAAGACTGTGTAATTTAGAAAGGACCTTGGTTAGGTCAAGTGCCAGCAGGTCAAGATGGTAACGGATTTGATGTCTAATGAGGGCTATTCTTTGTTTCTCAGATGCCAACTCATTGCTGTGTCCCCACATGTCAGAAGACAAAAGATGCCTGAGCCCCTTCACAAGGGTGCTAATGCTATTCATGAGGGAATAGCCCTGTGCTCTTACCCACTCCCATGATCACGATGGCCCCAGTTTCCAACTCATGAATTATGGGCTGGGAATGGAAGAACACACATTCAAACCATAGCTCCATCATAATTTCAGGCTCAACAAGTCCCATGTCTCTATGTCATTCCCATTTCTCTCTTCCAATAGGTAGTATGAGAATTAAACCAATTGTCTGTCCCATTGGAGGTGAAGAAACTAATATTCTTAGCTTAAAAGACTCACTGCAGAAGAATGGGGAGAAAGACTGTAAGAGTCAGAGGCAGTGAATGAACGCAAGAAAACTGTGTCTTCTGCACACAACAGGGCAGGTGCACCTACGAGCTCGCAGCAGTTGTAAAAACATACATATGACCTGTACAAGCCTAAGAACAATCCTCAGAATGGAGATGGGAGGTGGGCACAAAGCCCCCCCACTCCCCACTAGCAGGGGATCTCCTGGCAACTGATGGCTGCTTGGAGAAGAAGTCAGTTTTCTTTAAGAGTGCTGCCATGCTCTGGGGACAGGCCACACAAACACAAATATTGAGCCAATAGAAGTCGGACTGATAGGTAGGGAAAAACAGAGGGCACAAGTCAGTGGTAGTGGGGTGGTAGATCTGGGAGGAGTTGGACAAGTGATGAACATGGTCAAAACTCATTGTAAAAAAAACACTCTGAGGACTAATAAAATTTTCTTAAAAGACACTAATCCAAGGTCATTGGCTGGTTAGTAGCAGAGCTGAGACCCTAGTGTAGGTCATCCTAACTTTAAAGCAATAGCCTTTATTTCACACTGTCTGCTTACTGGTTATGTCTTTTAAATGACAGGGAAATAGATCAATGGCAGAATACTTGCATAAATGCTGGTTTGCTCTTCTTCGATTCCCTGTATCAACTAAATTCCTACCTTAAAGAGACTTAGGAGTAAGTGGTGCAGTGAGAAAGAGAATTAATGTGAGAGTGAAGGGACACTTTTTTAAAAAGTAGTAAGTTGTTTTTTTTTTCATTTTATTGAAAATAGATTCTTTTTTTCATCCAATATATCGTAAGTATAGTTTCCCATCTCTCTACTCCCCATATCCCCTCCTTCCTCTAGATATACTCCCTTTCTGTCTCTTATTAGAAAAGAACAGGCTCCTATGAGAAAACTATCAAACACTACAAAACAAAATATAAAGGATAAAGCAAAAACTATCACATCGAAACTGGACATGGTAACCCAAAAGAAAGAAAATAGCCCCGAGAGCAGACAAAGGAGTCAGAGACTCACTCATTTATATAATCAGAATTCTGTATTTAAAAATGCTAAGTTGAAAGCTATAATATATATATGTATATATATAGAGAGAACCTGATGTAGACACGTGTAGGCCCTGTGCTTTCTGCTTGATTCTCTGTGAATTCATATGAGCCTTGAATCTGATGGCCTTATTCTTAGGGGACATATTTAATAAACTACTTCCTTAGATATTTTGATCATAGATTCCTCATTTCATCTCCATCAAATGGATATATATGTATATATATGTGTGTGTATATATGTTAGAGTGTCATTGCTGAATCTAGACAAAATACCACTATCTTATTAAGTAATAGAGCCCCCACTCATTCAACAAATATTTGTTGAACACTTACTATGTGTTTTGAACATTCAGACATTCAGAGACTCTGTACATTTTTGTTTGCTTGCTTTTTCAGAGAAGGCTTTCCTTTATGTTGTCACTCTGGGATATGTTTTGCAGCCACACCATCACTAAAACTTTCTACAGCAGGTCACGTTTTATATACACTAAGTGCTTTCTTGTATTACCATCTCAGCCCTTGGTACTAAGAGTTCAATGTTGAGGTGACTGAAGGCACCCTGTCTTCTGAGACACTGTGACATCCACACCTTGGTCCTTGCCAGACTCTTATAGAGGAAGGCAAGCATACTAATAAGGGTGGTTACTCTTACAGGCTTGAGTCTCCAGATCATCTTGCTGCTACGTCATGTGACCTTGAGGTCACCCGAGCCAATGTTTAGCTTGTGTCAGTGGACTCATGAAAATTCTACCATGTGGAGTTCAGAGCTCTTCTGCGTCAGTGCTTAACGATTATTCTTAAGGATTAGGGGTCTGCCTGTCTGATCATCTCCCTGCATAGCTAGACAAGTACCGCTGACTTCATAATTCAGCTCCTACTCATTCAGTGGTGTAGAAATCACCTGAAAAATAATGTCCATTTTTTCCCAACAAAGCACACGGCCTTCTGGGAACTGACTTTTCAACATCCACTACAGTTTCCCCCCAAACACCACTGCTGTCCAAAACCTAGTCAGTCACAGCTTCACCTGGTGGAAGCCTGCCTACTCTTTGGGACATGGATTTCTGTCTCCTATGTGGCACTTCCTTGTTCTTTCCTAATCTCTAGCATAGAATATCTTCCTTTTTCCTGCCATCTTTTCCTTCCTTAGCATTTTCCTGTGCAAAACCTACCTTCTGCTATGTAGTAGGTATAAATCACGAAAGGTGCTAGAAGAACCTTGGGAGCCAAGCTCTCATTTGTCACAGAGTTCTTCATACTGATGGTTAAAGCTGTTCACTCCATCATTACAATTGGTAATGCCCACAGATGTCACAGAAGGAGTCTGGGTCTGTCCAGAGAAAGCTGGACAGTACTCTGTTCACATTGTTTGCCCCAGTTCTTAGCAAATTTTCCAGATGAAAGATGAAGAAATAAAACTTCCTCTCTGTGAGTTCAAGGCCAGCCTGGTCTACAGAGCAAGTTCTTCAAGCAATCTCCTTTCTCTTTGAGCCTTTTTAGAGCCTCCAGGTCACTGGCTCTTACCTAAGTTTCTCTTTCCACAATGTTCTGTTTCCCTTACTCCTAAATTGTCACCTCGCTTCTGCTAAATAAGATATAACCTTTACAGTACATGACACCAGGTGAGTGCCTTTGTGTCCTTCCTCTAGAGACTCATTTTTTCCCACTCTAGATTTCCTACTTCTGCTTTATTTACAGACTGGCATGGGTGGGTCAAGAACTCATACAAAGCAAATATTTCCAATGGCTTAGGCTATTGGATAGATTCACCATTCTTGTGCTAAAAGTGTAGACACTGTTCTCTCTCCTAGCTAATACTACATATTCTTTTGAATGGAATTGCTGAATGGAAAATGATGATGAACGTCTTTTTTAAGTTTGCAGAAGCTGCCTGTGGTGTGGTCCAAGTGATGCTCAATGGGTCCCTCAGTGAACCATTTTACAGAAACAGGTACTTCTTTTTCTTTTCTTTGAATCCTGTTTGCAAAGTTTAGTTATTGCACTTATTGTGGTCTCCTATTGGACATGGCATTTCTCAAAAGGATGTGCCTTCTTTCAAGTTCTGAAGGGCTGAACTTAAAAAGAGCAAAGATTTTGTATTCTCTGAAGACATTTTTCTTCCTGGGACAATGTTTGGTCTGGTTTCTCCTTTGTCTAGAATCTTCCAATGTTCCTAAGGGTCATTGCATAGTTTCCAGCCATCGCTCTTGACTTTTTGAGGTCTCACATAATTTTCTCAGCTTTCTTTCCCCTCGCATTCTACCCTCCCATTACACCCATGCTGCCTGGCCTGCCTCCCCACTTTTCCCTGTCTGCATCCTCACCATTCAGAAATAGTGGCTCACTTTTCTCTCCCCCGTGGGGATCCCACTTGAACAGCAGTGGACATCAGAAGTCATGCTGGGATCTGATCTTCAGCCTCTGTTGGCAGCATTGTCAGCAAAGCACTGTAGTGGTTTAACAGGGTGGACACCAGAGATCATTACACATTCCTTGTGTGAGCTTGGGCAGGCATCTAACCTCTGGGAGTCCCTGTATACGTAGTGATCAGGTGAGGATGCTATAGAGGTAAGTCAAGATGTGAACAGTGCTGAGCTCCATGCCTAGTGAAAACTCTCCAGTGCACATCAGCTATTATCTTCTCATTTATTCCTCAGGACTGAAGTGGCCCATACTCAAGCTCTCATCTCTGGCCTCCTTTTCATGTTAGCTTCTACCACATCCATAGCCTTTGTTCTCTAATTTTCCTCTGACAAAAATGTTCTGAAGATATGAATTTTCTCTGGGCACTGTAGGTACCCACTATTAATTGTTCCTCTCCTCCGTTTTAGTATTTAATTGCACAAAGCAACATTAATTTTTTATGTCTTCTTTAGACCATCTTTTTCCTATGGGAGTCAGGATGAAAGTTCTAGCACTCAGAATCTGTCATCTGATATTACAGAGCTAAGTTTCTGCCACCTATGAGATAGCTGTTCACACTAACAAGAAAGAACTGAGATAGGTATTGGTGAGCGGAGACTCTGTGGTTGTAACCAACTCTCTGGTAATGACACTCTTTGAACATCAAGTATCTTATATGCATTAATCAGCACCAAAGTGTAGTTAAAAATCTTGTCTTGAGCTGGGCAGTGGTGGTGCACACCCAGCATGGGAAGCAGAGGCAGGCAGACCTTGATGAGTTTGAGGTGAGCCTGATCTCAAAGTGAGTTCCAGGACAACCAGAGCTGTAACACAGAGAAACCTTGTCTTGAAAAAAATCTTATTTTGAAAATCTGGTAACCAAGAGTCATATTGAATGGAGAAATTGAGAGGCAAGGTAGGTTCTACTCAGTGATGTCTGACTGGCTGGATTGTGGCAGGAGATATGGATGCCCTGTATTTTGGCCTTATGTGAAGAATGTTGTTTATCTCTTCTGTTTTAGCACATTTGGAAGTGTGGAAGTCTTTAATTTGGACCCAAATAAGGTTCATAAACTCCAAGCCTGGGTGATGCATAACATCGAAGCAGATTCCAGGTATGTCACTACTTTGTAGCAAAGCAGTAGTCTATGAATCAGCCTGTGAAGAAACCCAAGGTCACAAGAACACACTGGGAACAGACAGGCTTAGCAGATGAATGGGGATTATCTGCACTTAGCCATCCTTATAGAGTCTTCATTCTGTCTCTACAAAGGACAGTGACTGCTTCACACCCTCATTCCTGCTGACCTGAGAACCCCAGAGGTGGACTTCTGATTCACTTCTATTCAATGCTGTTCACAGCAGCAGTTATGCAGAGGAAGTAAGACACTCAGAGAGTGTTTGAAAGATCTTATTATTTGAATATTTTCTTTCTTCCCTAGTAACTCATGCTCAGGCTCCTCCATAAATGAACTGAAGTTGATTGTACAGAAAAGGAATATGACTTTTGCCTGCCAGGATAACTACAGGTAATTGGTTCCTCCTCCTCCTCTTCCTCCTCCTCCTCCTTTTCCTCCTCTTCCTCTTCCTCTTCCTCCTCCTCCTCTGATTATGTATAGTGTTCTGCCTGAATGTATGTCCATAAGTCAGAAGAGGGCGCCAGATCTCATTATAGATGTTTGTTGATGTTCAAGTCTGGGAATTGAACTCAGGATCTCTTTGCTATCTCTCTAGCCCCTTTAATATTTTATTATTTTTTAAATGTATGAGTGTTTTGTCTGCATTCATGTCTGTGCATAACACGTCCCTGGAGGCTAGAATAGGGCTTCGGGTCCTTCAGAGCTGGAATTGTAGATTTTTCTGAGTCACCATGTGGGTATCTGGAATTGAACTTGGATCCTCTAGAAGAACTGTCAGTGCTTTTAACCACTGAGCCATGTATCCAGGACAGCAATCAATGTCTTGTGAACAAAATAGCTCTGTGAACTGAGAGGACTTCAGAGATCCCTCTCAGGCCTTGGGGGTGTTTGATGTATGACGGTCTCTGTCCTACCACCAAACCTAGCTTGTTTTCCTAGCCGATGACTTCAGTCTGGCTGCCTGACCATTTATCCCCTTCCTCCTTTCCTGCCAGCCCTAAGCAGTGGCTTGCTCTAAAAGCTGACTGACCCTCAAAGGACAAGCTCCCTGCTTTACTGCAGGGCTTCAGGGAAACAGAAACATGTCTTGCCAAGACCTTTCTCACAAGTTTTAAAATTCTATGGCTGGCTGTAAATTTGCATGTGAAATTTCCTCAGTTAGATTCAAATGTAAATGCCTATTATGTGGTAAATTTTCATATGTATCTTTTCGAGATTAACACCAAAACCAGTAATGTAAATTCTTAACAAAAATTTACCATTAACCTATAGGTAGGTATACATCTTTAAAGCCACCCATAACTCCAAAACTGGGGCCCCTTGTTTTTAAATGTTATGGCCAGTGAAACAGGCAGGGACATCTCCCTCTACAAAGAAGTGTTTTTGGAGCTTTTTCTGTGAGGAATAGCTTCAACCAAGACTAAAGCATAGAGAAAAGGCTTTGTGAGATATGGGCAAGCTGAAGAGATGGAATATTTTTGTTTCTCTTCACATCACCTCCCATATCTCAAAGGCCGAAGGACAGATTTAAAAGATGGATAGCTCATTTCCCAGATGACCCAAATTTCCCATCAATCAGCTGACTGTTCTTTGGAAACTGCCAGGAAAAAAACCCATCAACATGCTGCAGAAGTTAAATGTAAAAAACAAAAGAAATGATCAACTGTAGGAGAAACTCTGTAGACAGCTGAGTAGGCTAAGTCATTCAAAGATGCTCTGTACAGAAAAGAGTACTGGGGGACCAGGAGAAGGTTCCAGAACATAGCCTCTGTGGTTTTGTTAAGTCACATTTATGAAAATGAAAGTTTCTTTAATTTACCAGCTAGATACCTAAAGTGTGCTGTGTGTAGAGGAAGCATGGTTCTCTGATAGTGCATCCAAATCTCTTAAGGACAGTCCCTGAGTTCTGTACTGTCTCATGCTTTCACCCAAAAGGAACTGTGGGTGGTCTCAGAGGTTACACCTGCTGTCTCATGATCATCAGCTGTCACATACTTGTGATATATTTGAACTAGATGTTCATTTTTCACCTCTGTATGTTTCCATTGCACACCCTCCTTGGTATTTACTGCTATGGTTTACAAGTGAACTGAACTAAATTGGGACACACTTTCAAGTCATTTATTCCTGAGTTAGGCATTTCTCAGTGCTGTTGCTGTGGAGAAGCATGTGTGTGGATACTAGTGGTTCATTTTCATTTGGTTGCCAAGGAGGGTCTTCCTTCATTGATGAGTTGGACCGTAGGTGCATCATTCAGTCTCTTTCCTCTTAAAGTTTTGTTACATTTATATTTATTTACTGTATGTGTATGCTTCTGCACATTCGTGCATATACCATAGCTTTCACCATGTGGACATCTGGGGATAACTTGTAGGAATCAGTGCTTTGTTCCACGACATGAACTTTGAAAATGCTCAGGTCATTGGGCATTGCAGTGAGTCCTTTACTTCATGACCAGTCCTCAGCCTGCTCCTTAATTTCCTTTCTTGCTTCTCTCCCACAGGCCTGTCAGGTTTGTTCAGTGTGTGAAGAATCCTGAACATGCATCATGTAGTTAAACACATGAATGATTTGGATCTTAGACCCCTTGTAGCATCATCAAGATGAAAGTATCAGAAACTGAAAGTCTCAGAAGCTACACTTGTATATAGCTGATGGTGTCAGGGAGAGCCCTCCGCTACAATGTCAGCACCAGAGATGGAAGAACTTGCCAACATTACACGATCAACTCAATTCTTCCTGTAAATGACCATTGCTCAAGAAAAAGCTACTCCATACAGAAGAGTTAAACTTTTATATTGTTATTTCATTTTAACTTTCTCATGTGGTGCTTTTATATTGTATATATTTGCTATCATACTTTTTTCTTTTTTAATGAAACTGATAGTAGCCTCCATTATTGTTCATCAAATGTTGTTGTATTAAATTGAATGTAATAGAATCTGAAATGTGGTTTTTTTATTTTTTATTTTTTGGTTTTTTGAGACAGTGCTTCTCTGTGAAACAGTTCTGGCTGTCCTGGAACTTACACTGTAGACCAGGCTGGCCTTGAACTCACTGAGATCTGCCTGCCATTGCCTCCTGAGTGCTGGGATTAAAGGCATGTGCCACCACTGCCCAGCCTGAAATGTAATTTTTATGTATGGTTTCAAAACTAATTAATTGCACCCTGTTTCTTTTCCTCCTCATACTTGGTGTTATTTATAGGTAGTAAGATGCTTTTGGTGAAATATTGAGTTAATGAGCTGGGGCAATGGTGGCACATACCTGTTATCTCAGCACTCAGGAGGCAGAGACAGGTGGATCTTTGAGTTGCAGGACAACCAGGCCTGTTACATGAGAAACCCTGTCTCGAATTCCCACCCCCCAAAAGACCCAAAATACTGAGATAAATTTTGAGTTAAACTATTGCTGATAGTTTTATCAGTTAGTTTTCTATCCTTTTTTTTCTTAGATCAGTCCTGCTTTGGTATTGACATTTTTGTTGTAGTTTTTCAAAGCTCCAATCTTTAGTATTCCTCATTTCATTTAATTGGATTTTTGCTTGTTTTTAGAAATATAGAAATTTCTTATTTCTTCCATCTTCTTTGAATATCTTTGTTCAGTCTTTTGAGACAGATGCCCAGGTAACTGACGTCTCAGCCTGCTTTCTTTTCTTAGATTCTAGAACTGCCTTTTGCTCTGAGACCTGCTTGTGCTGAAACAATGCAGCTGTGCACACCAGCACTGGTTACCATTCAAACTGTTCTTGGTTCCATTGTTACTTGGAAATGTGTTATTTACTTCTCAACACCCAAAGAATTTTTGTGCTTTTTTTAAAATAAGTGTCTTTAGTAGATATTAATAAAAATAAATTGATAACAGCTTCAAAGGATTTGCTTGAAGAGGGTGGAGCTTTGTCTCAGCTACCCTCTGTGGTATTGTCTGAAAGCAGCCCAACTCAAGTCTGCAAGCTCTCATATACAAAAGACAACACCACCACCGAAGACTGCCTCTTCATGGCCAGCATCTTCCAAATACAAATTCCCAAGTCTATAACTTGTGTGTCTTCCCAGACTCTGGTTGACTGTTAAATGTTAGAAAGAACACTCTTTTGCTCTTAAGCAATAGTCTTTGGAAAACCAGTTGTAACTGGCCTGATGCACCAAGGAGACTTCTAAATATAGGAGAATGGGAATCAGGAACTCAGGCGTCTGGGCCCATATGCGGCCGAAGAAAAGAACCACAGATGTTCCTCTCACCAGCCACTTTTTTGTTTGTTTGTTTGTTTGTTTTTGCTTTTTGGACAGGGTCTTGCTATGTAGCCCAGGTAGGTCTTGAACTCATTGCAAACCCCTTCCTCCGCCTCCTGAGTTCTGGGATTACAAGCATATACAACCCAGCATTCCTTCCTTTTTGGGACCTGAACCACACTTTCAGTTTTCACCATAGTGCATCTCTCACCAAAGAGAACTGAATTTGGAGCCTCTGCGAGCAGTCCAGTGGTTTGGGGGAAGAGAACGCCTGCGCAAACGCACGAGGAAGGTGAGAGCTACTTAACTTCCGGGTAACAGTTTGCCTATGTCTATACATTTTTTTTTTTGGGGTGTGAAACAATAGTTTACCAAAATGTTGCGCGTGGTAAGCTGGAATATCAATGGGATTCGGAGTCCCCTTCAAAGTCTGGGATGCCAGATACCCAGTAACTGTTCAACGGTCTTGCGACACATTTTGGAAGAGCTGGACGCTGATATTGTCTGTCTCCAGGAGACCAAAGTGACCAGAGATGCTCTGACGGAGCCCCTGGCTATTGTTGAGGGCTATAACTCCTATTTCAGCTTCAGCCGCAGCCAGCGTGGCTATTCTGGTGTAGCCACTTTCTGTAAGGACAGTGCTACCCCAGTGGCTGCTGAAGAAGGCCTGAGTGGTCTCTTTGCCAACCTAAATGGGGATGTTGGTTGCTATGGAAACATGACCGAGTTCACCCAAGAGCAGCTACGAGCTCTGGATAGTGAGGGCCGGGCTGTCCTCACACAGCACAAAATCCGTACATGGGAAGGGAAGGAGAAGTCCTTGACCCTTATCAACGTGTACTGCCCACGTGCGGATCCTGGGAAGCCTGAGCGTCTAACCTTTAAGATGCAGTTCTATCGCCTGCTGCAGATCAGAGCAGAAGCACTCCTGGCAGCCGGCTGCCATGTAATAATCCTGGGGGACCTGAATACAGCTCACCGTCCCATCGACCATTGCAATGCTGGCAGTCTAGAGTGGTTCGAAGAAGACCCAGGGCGTAAGTGGCTGGATGGCTTGCTCAGTGACTTGGAGTACCATGCTGGGTCCCATATAGGGTCTTTTATGGACAGCTACCGTTATTTCTATCCAAAACAGGAGAGGGCCTTCACCTGCTGGCCAGTCATCACTGGTGCCCGCCATCTCAACTACGGTGCCCGACTTGACTATGTACTAGGCGATAGGACTCTAGTCATAGATACGTTCCAAGCTGCCTTCCTGCTCTCTGAAGTGAAGGGCTCTGACCACTGCCCTGTGGGAGCTGTCTTGAATATGTCCTGTGTGCCAGCAAAACAGTGCCCAGCTCTGTGTACTCGTTTCCTCCCTGAGTTTTCAGGTACCCAGCTCAAGATTCTTGGTTTTTCTAGTCCCTCATAAACAAGAACCTATGTGGGAGCAGCAAGTCCTGCAGCCCAGCCATCAAATCCAGGTCCAGAAACAACAAAAATCACAGGCCCACAGGTACTCATCCAGGCCTCAGAAACATCAAGGCGGCTCCAGAAGATGCCAGAGAAACCTGATGAGTTATTTTCAACCTTCTGTTAACCTTCCTCAGACTTCTCCTGCTGTAGACCTTCCTAGGCTGCCTCTTGTGGGCACTCTCGTTACTCCAAAGACTCAAGAAGAGGATGTGATAGCCAGAACAGTAGCCGAGCAGACCAAGGTTTCTGAGGTCAAAGATAAGAAGGCGGTACAGACCTTGTTTTGGAAGTCTGTGCTGAGTGGACCTTCACCCACACCCCTCTGCAGAGGCCACAGGGAGCCACGTGTGATGCGAATTGTGAAAAAAACAGGACCCAACATGGGCCGACATTTCTACACATGTGCCAGGCCACAAGGTCCTCCTAATGACCCCTCATCAAGCTGCAACTTCTTCCTCTGGAGCAGGCCTAGCTGAACCAACTGAGACCTGAGTGTGTCTGGCCTGGTCAGCTATACACAGTGTCTGATACCAGGTCTCCACCTCCTAAGCTGCCTTCCCCTCAGAGGATCCCTTCCTTCTTCTGCCTTCTCTCCTCCTTCCTCCTGCCCTAGCTTTTCTTTTCCCTTAAGACATTCCTCTTCTCACCCCGCCCTTTCTTCCTCTTTGTCCACATGAGAACCAGCTACCCAGGAAGTTATAATTTTAAACTCCTGATTCCCTCGATGTGCAATGTATTTGTTAATAAACAAAATCTGTGTCTTTGTTTCAGTGTTAAAAAAAAAGTCAGGGATGAGAATCATGCAATGGCAATGTGTTCTCTGTGAAGAAGATTCACCTATACTCCTCTAAGGATGTTATACAACTATATAACAAAATGGTGGTTCTTGCTAAGTGAGACAAACGTGAGACAGCACTTAAAAACTTGATGCAAGAGCAGACCAATGGAGAACTATCAGTTATTGCACTAGGCTCTCCACAAAGTATAGCTGTCAGTCACCTCCATTGTGACATCAGAATTCTTTGGGTGTATAGAAATTTTCTAAATGCTATTTGGATTTTATGGATTATCCAGGAGAGCAAGAAAAAGATTTGGGAGTCACCCAGGCAAAGATAACACCCCCAGTTTCTCCACTATGCAAGGGTGAGCTAAAAGACTCTGCTTGCTTTCTAGTCACTGGTATATCCTCCAGTGCTAGAATACAGTCATGACAACGTTTGGGAATAGAATTAACAGAGGTGGACGGGCAGGTAATGGATAGTCCTATCTTAATTGCTATATCAGTCTCAAATGTATTGCATAGATATGTCTGATGTGAAGAACTGATATAAATTATTCCTTAGAAAAATCTCTGGCCCTGGATGAAATGACAGACTATGGATACCCCCATGGAGGGCCTCACCCTCCCTGGGGAAATGAGGGGATAATGGGGGGTGGGGGGAGGGCACAGGAGGAGGGGAGGGAAAGGGAGATGGACCTGGAACTGACTTGTGAAGCAACCTTGTTTCTAATCTAAATTTAAACTTAAAAATAAATAATAAAAAAGAAAAATCTCTGAACCTCCTTCTGAAATGACAATCACAGTAATACCCATTATCATGGTCAGCTTTAACTGTAAACTTGACACAGGCAATAGTTACGAGAGATAGGAGACCCTTGGTCTAGGAACTCCCTAGGTCAGATTGTCCTGTGGGTATATCTGTGAAGATTTTCTTGACCAATTGATGTAGGAGGCTCTACTCCACTGTGGGTGGTACCAGTCCCTGTGCAGATGGTTCTGAACTATATCAAAAGCTAACTTAGCATAAGCCCATCTGTGAGCTCACAAGAAGTGCCCTCTGTGGCTCTTGCCACACTTCTTCGCCTGTGAAGTGAGTCCCTTGGTTGAAGATAGTATAAGCATGTATGTCTTCAAACTCCTGCCTTGACATCCCTCAGAGCTGAACTGTAACCTGGAGTTGCAAACTAAAATAACCTCCCCCCCCACCAAGTTGTTTTTGGCCAGAGTATTTTATCACAGCAACAGAAAGAAAAGTAGAACACCCACCTGTTGCCTTGTTTTGCGTATCCTATAGGAAGAAATGTGTGAAATTTTTATGAAACTGCTTAACACTTGTGGAAACTCTACCAGTTCTGGTGCTTGTGTTTTTCCTGAAGAAAATCCCTTGACAAGCAAACTTAGATTAGAAGCTGAGACCTTGACAGCTTCAGACCTTGAAGGGTAGGGTGGTAACGAAAAAGAGTGATTGGGTCTCTTGCCTACCAGAAGGACCAACTACAATCTCTCACAGGGTTTGAATCGCCGTAAGTGGTTAATACTTTCCCACCTAAGGGAGAAATAAATCCAGCTATCCTTTAAGAACGGTTTCTTCACAGCTAGCTCCATCTCAAGTGAGATCCCTTCCAAACCCCAGCTCCTTTGACAAAGACCAAGACGGAACCCTCCAGCCCCAAATCTAAGAATTTGAGATCTGTTGTTTTCACTCCTTAAGACAATGAGAACTTCAGCTGCCTACCTTGCCATTTCCAATCCAGTCCCTGCTCTCCTGACCATGGCTGGCCACTCTGACATCATTTCAGTTTAGGTTGGCAGCTCACCTTCACAGAATGAGAAATCCCCTCATTCTTGAACATCAAGCAGGGTGACTAAGACGGTCGTGACAGCAGAGGGAAGCTTGTGGTCTTTGCAGTTCATGTTCATGCCACGTTTTATTCTTTCTTGTCCTACCATACCGCTCCCTCAGCACACGATGCTCGCCGCCTGACACACTCTTGTCTGGCAGGAAAATTCATCGGTCAAGCTGGCCAGTGGTGGCAGTAAAATTCATTGGTTAAGTCAGGCAGTGGTGGCACACACCTTTAATCTCAGCACTCGGGAGGCAGAGACAGGCAGATCTCTGTGAGTTCCAGGCCAGCCTTGTCTACAGAATGAGTTCTGGGACAGCCAAGGCTATACAGAAAAACCCTGTCTTGAAAAACAAAAACAAACTTCATCGGTCAAGTAAGACCAATTTTGTATTCCAGTCAACCAGCATGTATTGTGATGTTGGTCAATGTACTTAGATTCTTTGATCTTCGGTTTTGTTAAGCATAACACACATGATGGGCATTGTAGGCCATAAGAATAGGAAAATGGTGGCTTTGTCATTTTCAAGAGCTTGTTCTGTCATGCAGTGGGGAAAATAAGGGTGAGAATGAGAAGCAGGCACTAGAGGGCAGCAGAGAGCCTTGTGGAGGAGAGCATCAGTGTTAGGTTTGAGGATCACAGGCCAAAAGCTTTTTCATTCACCATAAGATTATACAATGCCTACCTTGAAGGGTTTCTGGGATCTGAGTGAGAGTTAATAAAGACAAGGGTAAGAAATGTAAGAACTCATAATTACTGGTTAGTACCAGCAAATGTTGATGTCTCCCTCACGTTAAAAGACCCAGAAGCATCTAATTCCCTATTCAATAAAAAAGGATAGGCTATTTAAGCCATAAAGACCACAAGTGTTTCTAGTTCAAAAATATCATTCCAAAGAGCATATGTCCCAATCTATAGTAACAGCACACTTTTATTGATCCTTCAAATAGCTTAACATGCCTGGGTGACTCCTTTGTGAGGATGCCGTGTAGGACGCACCTTGTCTCATAAGCACGAGGACAGAACTCATTAAGAGCAAGAACATTGAGATCAAAGTCCTCCTGGGGAAGTCATTCATGGTGTCATTCTCTACTTTATCTGCCTGTCTACATCTGTCTGTCTGTCTGTCTATCTATCCATCCATCCATCTATCTACCTATCTATCTCCTAAGTATCAAACCAGGGTCTTTTATGGTTGGTTCCCTGTTAGTCCCTATATGAGCCAAGTGCGTGTACCTGGATAGTAATAATGATGATTTTAATGGGCATCTGTGAATATTTACTCAACAGTGAGGATTCAGTGGTAGTCATGAGCCTGTTAACTTAGCTGTTTTGTAACACCCATTCTCACCTCTGTCTGAAAGAATAGCATGTTTATCTAGTTCAAAACAAAGCCATTTGGCCTCTTCTATGAGGAGGTGAATTCACATGAGTTTTAGTGAATGGTGTCAGTAGAAGCATTCTATGAAACTTTTGAGAAACTTCCTTAAGAGATAAGGCAGGATTATTCTTTGGTTCTCTGTCTTCCTTTCCTGTCCTTCCTGCTAGCAGGATCACAGATGTGACTCTTGGAAATTTATTCTGGACCATGGAAGCAGAGGACAGTCCAGTAGTGGTGCAGTAGGTAGCTGGTTTCAAAGGATCCTACCTGCCCCCAAATCAGGCCCTTAACCTGAGCTATCTGATAGAAAATACAATACTAAACATGGGGTCACCAATGTGTCCCAATTTTCTGAGAACTGTTGTATCTGAGCACTAATAGTCCCATATTAAGGGAGCACTTTTGGTCAGGTGGAACAGTTACCTAACTCAAGTGTAGAGACTGAGGTAACTAGTTGTGTGAATCTGAGTATGCCACCTGGTTTCTTAGGGAGAAGGTAACACCTCTCTCCCAGGGCTGCTGTGAGCATCATATGTGGGAACTTCCCCTGGGGCAGGAGAAGAGCTGGTGCCGAAATTTACAACTAGTATTGGTCTTCTGGTATCAAGAAACGTCATGCTTCCAGGAAGGGCTCTGGTCTACCACTCAGAGACAGGAGTCCCTACTCCTCAGATATGTGTAATCCAAAGTCTCCTTTTTCTTATTTGACCAAAGAAACTAGCCTTGCTAGTTTAAGGTGTTGCCCAACCTGAAACCTGGCATCTGATTATGCAAGTGAATGAGTGAATGAACCTGGTGCTCAGTTGTGAGGCTGTGGTATATTGTTGAATTTTTAATATATGCACTACCATATCAGATTTATGAGACAGGTTACTGATGCTCAGTCATTTTCAGAAAACCATGCTTTCCAATTACAACACAGGTGTCACTTAATATTCAAGAAAGTAGGGAGAAGCCAGCCCAAGCCCCAACTTAATGAAGGAAATTGAGATTTTTTCCATTTTGAGTCATTAAAGGCATTGACCTGGGTTCAAGTCCTGGAAGAACCATGAACTGAGAGCCTTCTTCCTGGTCTGCTGAAAATATTGGGATCACATGGAAGGGGAGTTGACCTTTTTTATTCTTTTTTCATTTCTTTGCTGAAAACTACTCATTACTTTTCAACAAAAGCATCCAAGATGAAAACCTGGAAGAGGAGGAGAACAAATGAGGCTGAGTAAATGATCAAAGCATATGGGGATTTGGCATGAGAACATGGCAGAAAGGCAATTTTTTAAAAAGATGTATTTTTTGTTCATACAGTATTCTGTTTGCATGCATCCCTGCAGACCAGAAGAGGGCACCAGATCTCATTACAGATGGTAGTGAGTCACCATGTGGTTGCTGGGAATTGAACTCTGGACTCTAGAAGAATAGCCAGTGCTCTTTACATCTGAGCCACCTCTCCAGCCCCAGAAAGGCAAAATCTTACCTCATTTCTTTAAATTCAAGAAGCTCACTCTCCTTTCCACAACACCATTTTTCAACTGGGGATATTTTTTATTTTCTCAATATATGTTTTTTTAAATTAGGAACATTAATGCATCACATGTCAATCCCAGCTCCCTCTCCCTCCCACCCCTTCTCCCTCCACCAGCCACACCAGCCCCCCCCGCATCCAATCCGCACATCATTCTCCAGGGAAAGTGAGGCCCTCCTTGGGGGGATCTCTAAAGTCTGTCATTTCATTCAGGGCAGGACCTAGGCCCTTCACCTAGTGTCCAGACTGAGAGAGCATCCTTCTATTTGGAATGGGCTCCTAAAGCTCATTTGTATGCCATGGTAAACACTGATCTACTACCCAAGGTCCCAGAGATTTCTGAGGCCTCCTCACTGACACTACATTCATGGAGTCTGGATCAGTCCCCTGTTGGCCACTCAGCCATCAGTCTGGGATTCAAGAGCTCCCCCTTGTCCAGTCAGCTGTCTTTGTGGGTTTCACCAGCATGGTCTTGACCCCTTTGCTCATCACTCCTTCATCTCTGTCACTGGGTTCCAGGAGTTCAGTTCAGTGTTTAGCTGTGGGTATCTGTCTCTGCTTCCATCAGTCGCTGGATGAAGGTTCTAGGATAGCATATAAGGTAGTCATCAACCTTATCATCAGGAAGGGGCTATTAATGTAGTCTCTCCTCTATTGCTTAATTTGCCAGTTGGTGTTATCCTTGTAGATCTCTGGAAATCTCACTAGTGTCAGCTCTCTCCTCAAACCTATAATGACTCCATCTATTATGGTATCTCTCATCCTGCGCTCCTCTATTCTTACCTCAACTCAACCTTGATCCACCATGTCTTCTTCTCCCCTCCTCTTATCCCCCTCTCTTTTTCCTGGTTCCCTGTGCTCTCCCCCCATGTTACCAATCTGTTCAGGAGAGCTTGCCTC